TTATTGCAGTACCTACTGTTCAAAGATTAAAGTGATTCCTACGTTGATAAATAAAACGCTATAGGAGCGTCAAATGTTTCTTCAACAAACCTTTCTGTCCTTTCTGATGGAAACCGCTAATACTTTAACAGATATTTCCATCTACGTATAACTCTTTGCTGCAGATTTTTTCTACCAATAATATTTTCCGGAATCGTGCTTTCATTTATATGCGGTAGTTTAGACTCTAGCACAAGGATATCCTGTTAGAAATGCAAATAACATTGGTAATGACAGAAATTAAAGTAGCGTGAACTAATGACAGGGACTTGAAGAAATTATATTTACCGCAACAGGAATAACTGTAAATATGCCATTCATGTGAGAATTTTCCCGAAGGAGTAGGCATCGTTGTACAAATGTTATGTAAAATCCATTTTTCGTCAGTTGAATAATTGTAATGAGCGTATTATGAGTCACAATACAAATACATATATATTATATCAAATTCTGTAACCACGATAAAATTTAATTATAATAACACTTTTTAAGGTGTCTCCAAAAAACTGCAAGAAGTCTTAAACAATGACATGAAACACTATAAATCACTGTCGGTACCATAATACGCGCTAAATTCTTTAATTGAAAAAATGTTATACCGATCTAGGTGAGCGAGCAGAACTAGAAATAGAGACTCGTTTAACCGGAGCTTTTTCTTTACAATTGGCTATTACGTTATACTTCACCCAACAGAACTATCATCAAATCAAAACAAACTACAATTATTTCTTTAATATTAAAGCTACACATTAATTTCTCATGTAAAACTACTTTCACAGGAAGAACGCGGTATCAATAAATCGTTCTGTATTTATAATTGTAGTTCATATCTCCTTAAACGTTCCACACCCGCCTTGTGTTTGAAGCGATTCTTTGAATGATTGCACTTGAGATTGCTTTTATAGAAATCAACAATAGATAGTATTACACACCACCCACGAAGAGGAAGTAATACAGTCACTACACTCAGCCGAACGCACTTCCACGTCTTTTTATTTAGAGCGACATTCAATCAGCCTTGCCACGAAAAAAAACGTCCAAGAATGCCTATCACAGATGGTGTGATCACGTAATAATATGAGTACCAACGTAAAGTAAGTTGTAATAGCGTAGTAAACTTAATAAATACTAATAATATTTTACATAAGTATCATAATAACGGTGGGAAGTAGTGGACAATACCATTGCGTCACAAGCTAGAGTTTATGACAAGCACGTTTTTGTTGACAAACGTCATATTTGATTGAGTGCGTGGATTTGCTCACAAAACTACAATGAACTTTTTTTATTTTAACGTATTGCACAGCATCTTGTTATGTAGATAGTAGTCATTGTTTAAATTTTCATTGAGATACTCTGGGATTTATAGTACCCCAAAACAAAAGTTATTTTTATTTCAAAATCGATTACTAAGTTGCTTATCAACCTGATGTGAACTGATGAACCTCATATGAGTAAGTTTGCCTTTTATTCCATACCTAAACCATTTTCAGCAAATAATGATGACACCATTTGTCAATTACCAATTATAATAACATGGGATTGACTTAAGTTAACAACGAAAAATTAATGATACCAAGCATTTAGTGCTACGTAGTACTTCTTAGATGTTCTAGAAAGCATTAATTAGTAGAAACATAATTCTAATATGTGAGAGCAAGCTATAACATAAACCATAATGATCTAATCAACTATTGTTGTTCAGTCGTTAAGCCTAGAAACTAACTTAATGAATCACACTTCTTACTGATAGGATTAAGTTGATGGCATTAAAAACCTGCTCTAGTATTGAATGGAGAAAGTATGAGAATAGTTCTCAGTGTGCCTCCTTCAATTATTATATAAACACCTATAACTGAATTATTAGCTGAGAACATTATTTGTTACACATATATTGTTTGTTTTTAATTAAACATTGTAAATTAATGAAGTAGTAATTTTGTTTTATGGGAGGAGAAAATTTTATACGCCTTCTAACGTGTTTCTTGTTAGAGTACGAGATTGCTTGAGATAGGTACATTTGTATGTATCTTGTATTCTAGAATTAGAATACATAGTACCTACCAATCATTATCATATTGTCACATCTCCTATTCCCTATATTTTATCACAGCAGAAGCATTATGAAAACAATTTTCACCTATTTTATAAAAACCTTGTCATTTATTTAATTTAATTATTGTACAGGACTTTAATAAGTGTATGTTTACTGAAAATTACCTACGCCCCACATACGCCACTGTGACTACTCGACCAATATGAGGTAGTAGAAAACTGACCGTAGATACTTTATTATCTACTACTAATTTATCAAATCCTCATAACTTTATTTTCTACATACAGATTGCTAATCTCCCTTTTACTACTAAATAATTTCAGTGTTGAAAAGACCAATAAACTATTACGTGTTTGGAAAGTAAGTACAACATGGACTACGTAACACGGCAAGGGATATAATTCGATAATAAATTTTCAATAAAACTTTATTTACTTATAACTTAGCAATAGGAATAATATATTAATTTTAAAATTACCTCGTTTTTAATAACATATATGTACCACAACCAACAGTTTGTTTTGATTTGTCAACAGTAGGTATTATGTACTACCTAAATGTCTCGAAAAGTATTGATGTTGAAATTACATTACTATTAAATGTAACCTACCTCTATAATATAGGTTTTTATTTTTAAGTTTATTTAATTTTTTTAAATACTAATTTGTTTTGTGCATACTGTCTATCTCATTGTTTCCGACAAAAGGGTTTCCGGTTGTGTTCGTAGATCTGGCAAAGAACTTTTAAATGTGGTATGGAGTAAGAAATCGTGTCAAAGAGTTATTAGTCTTATATTAAAAGTAACTCATAACTTATCTATAACCTGAGTGTTGTCGCTATATGTCCATCTCTATCTATCACTTAAGGAAATTACAGGCGTGCTAATATGTGATACTACGATTGAAATTAATTGAACTAATACTAGCATCAATTAAAAAGTTCTGAAAATATTTGAAAGTGACCACTGAATAGAAATTGACCAAACGTAACAGTAACTAAGAATGTGACAAGGAGGAAGTCTCGATTCGCATCATTTACGATTTATATTTTAGTTAAATTTAAATATTTTAATTTGCATGCTTTTTAAAATAGAATGTTACATAAATAATTGTATAAATTGAATTACACAATCAAACAATAAACCAGTACCTATTAATATGCATAAAATAAATTATAAATTGCAGTTAAGTAATTTTACAATCATTTTCACAATTAAATAACTTGCGGGTTTAGTTTTCCTAATATTATAATTCGTTTTGTAGACACTGATAAAAACTCTCAAAGATCTTCACAAGGTGAAACACGAGTTCAATGTCATTAAAAGACAAATTGATTACTAGGATTTTGAAGCCTAAGTAGATAAATAAGTGTGGATGCCGGAACGAGTAGCGCAAATTTGATTTTTAAAGTGACTGTGCCTAAGTACACATTGGCAAATTGACATAAATATTCAGAGTGTGTTATACTAGTTTACAAGTACATATGACTGTCAAACGCTTTGTCCCGACTGCGACCATAATCGTGCATTATTTAGCTAGTTAGATAAATAATAAGAACCTCAAAAATTGCGTCACATTAAATATGAGTTCTGTCCTAAGTAAGCCTTAAAGAAATAACATATTTATGTAGCTATTGATTGACTGTAAACAAATAAAACTACATTAACCCACTTCAATTAAAAAACCCGTGTTTATATTTCTCCGAATGGCTTTCTCCGTATGTGACCCCATTAGTAAACACGTCTTCGAGACAAGACGACGGAGCCTGTCCTTATTATGAGCCATAACCTCAATACCGGCATCACTTGAAAACCAATTACTATCTCTTTGTACCTGCACAGACGAGGAACTTTTGTCCGACTGAGGAACTTATTAGCGACCGAAATTAACCCACAATTGTTTACTAGTTTCTTGACAGAATATATTATCATAATATTTATATGAATATGCTAAGTTTAAGTTTTTATTAATTTTAGCCGATTATCCTCTCACGAATTAAACAACATAATTTATTCAGTCCTCGCTGGATTTTTTCCTTTTTTTTTAAGGAAAGACGAGGGCACGATTTCCTCTGTCTGCGCAAGCCTTTTATCGTACACATTAATAAGGTAGGCAGGTACGATGCACTATGCACGTAGTAGGTAATGTGCATCATAATTACAGGCTTACTGCCCAAGCTCTTGACGTTTTGAAATTAAGTGCATATTTACGATTTGTTTGACTACTTAAACTAGATACTAGTTGGACTTTGTATACAGAATTTAAATGTTCACTTTGTAACTGTAATTTAACATAACATCCTAAAACCTTCTACGTTTTATTTAAATAGTTTTATCATCAATACTCCTTTATAACCATAAACAACAACAAGCTATAAACAACTAAAATAATAAATCGTAACACGGCCAATATTCTTGACTTAAACTTTCAGTTGCCCAATTTCTTGGTCCCATTATATTTATAAGGGTTAAATAATATAATAATTTATTCATAATATCACTGGTCAACATAGGTACAAAAACATGTTAATTAAGCGACAAGATCTTAAAAATAATATGCCTATACTAGGAATATTCCTGTGTCACAGGCGATAGTAGCTCTAAAAATTTGTTAATGATAAGACAATTTATTTATAGTATATTATATTTAACACAATTTTCAGAAGTAAGGTAGGATTGTTTAATATAATACACTAAAGACATACATACATACAATAACATCACGTGAAATAAATGTTCTTCATTTGTTAGTTTCAAATTATTATTTTGTTATTATCGTCACATCATAAGTAACAAGATGCCCAGTATTGAAATTGCTGACTTTCAGATCGCCAGGTTAAAGTGCGTCCTATTAAACCTGCATCCTACAGCTTTAGTTACTGTAGTTTAAAAAGAAAAATAGACATAATGCACTGGTTTACTCTACACAAAGAGACAACGAAAGGTGAACCTGTGCCAACTAATTCTTAGCAAATATGCAAATCGTTTTAGCACTGAACGGAGCTGGGTGCAGCTATGTAAACAGGTCGTACCTACTTACCTATACCTACTTTTGTTATATGGTTAGTCCGATATTGTTTTGTGAACACAATCTAAGGTAGATATAGTTTTTATTAAAATTTAGATATTATAAACAAATCCCTTGCTTAACTTACTAAAGATAAACTATATTTAAAGATACAACAAATCATGTTTAGTTTGAAGTTTGCTTATTGGTGCTAGTTTGTTCGTATTGCAGTTTTTTTTTATAAAGAAGCGTAAATATTTTACGCGTGGTTCGCGTTCTCGATTGTCTGACAAAGATCTTTGACAGTCGTAACAGGTGGTGCGATCGAGATATCTTATAACATCTGTAACTAAATATAACTTCAACAGTACAAAACTGCCAAATCGTGCGGAGAAAGTAAGTTGTCGCTAAGCAACTCAACATTGCGCTACATCTCATTTATTATCTCTGCAATATTATATAATTATTTAATCACAAGATAGTAATATAACGTATTAGCATCCATAGACCACGTCGTATTATATCATAATCAATTTAAATATCATTTCTGAGGTCCTATGACCTATGCGAAAGGCGTCTTAAGCACGTCAGCCATTTGCAATTTTCTCGCATAAAATACAGCGTCGTGATGAAATATAACTTACTTCCGACATCCAGTTTAAAGGTTACGTCACAGTATAACTAATGTTGCGAAACAATCCTCAAAGTGTTAACGAACATTCCGCATCCTCAATTAATTCGCGAGTAATTAGCGGATTAGCATGCAGCGTCAGAACCGTCACGGGAAAGACAAGAATTGTATCGTTGATTGTGTTAAAAGTAAAGGAAATTCTGCGATACATTGTTGACTCGTGTCATCACACAATCATTTGCCTGTACAATAATTCATTGAAACAATGTATTTTATAGCTCATTCTATCATCACTTTAATTATATCTTACATAAAACAAACAAGTATTTGCATAAAAAAATAAACATACGCTACTGTAGTGCGCTTGTTTAAAAAGTAGAAAACCTACTATTACGATTAGGTGGTTTTAAAATTATTATTACGTAAAATTCGAGGTGCTTACTCGACTTCGTTTATGGCCCTGCTTCATTTGAAACAAAAGCAATTAGTAGAATGACTTTATCACAGTCTCGTCACCATGACTCAATATATCAATGATACAAGAGTAAAAATAGTGAGGGCAAATTTAGTAGTCTATTGTTTACTCGAGACTTGAAGCAAACATAATAATAATAAATATTTCCAACTGATAGAATGAGGTTTATAATGCATACATTTTTACAATTCGTGAGTCAATTACAATGCTGATTGCACGGTGCATTGTGCATAACTATGTATGTTTCTGTAATCAACACGATAATATTCGCACTATAAGTAAGAGTAAGACTTATTGTAAATCGTTACGATAACACATGTTTTCATAATTTAGCAGTCTGTATGAATTAACTAACTCAGGGTAAGTATATATATTTGTTTTGAATTTAGGTTAGCCCCAAACTACTCTTGCGTAGTTCAACTATTGCAACCATGACAATGTAAAATATCTACATAATTCATTACACACATTAATCAATACGTCCTTTAAGTTGATTACAAAATGTTTCAATAGATCGCTACTATCGGTAGTGTCTAGTACGCTGCACCAAAAGATTGATGTGATGGACAGGTTTTTCCTCCTACTTGTCATGCATAGCGTGACAGACCGCGTGTTGCTATTTCAGCTGCGTACACGCAAGTCTTATGTGGTTCTGAGATTAGAGTAAGTCTCATTGTCAGTTCAATTCCACAGCCCAAAATTAGTTTACATAAAAGTTTAAAGGAAGAAGGCAAACTTCGTTTGACCATGAAATCTGAGTTATGCATAATTATTAACTGGTATTACGTTTTACGTTCGACCTTTAGTGAATTGACTACGTTTTGCAAACTAAGCGTATTTATAATTGTTAGTACATTGTACTTTCGAAACTTTTGTCAGTTAATCTTACCATCAACAATTTTACAATAACAGTTGCGATACTTTTGTTATTTTTAACTACGATTTCCGCAATGATCAGATCACAATCATCCACGAATATAGCAACATTCATAAACTATCGCCTCACCTAAACCTCGCTCCAAATTTGGTCAAAACGAAAGGGCCAATCAAAGTAAGGACGGCCATTAAGGGACTCATATGCACACTCATTATTCATTGATTAAAATATTCATTAACAAAGTAATGAGAACATTTATTTGAGCTTTCATACTTTACATGTCACTAGCAATTTTTTAAATGAGACAGATCATGATCGTGCCGTAAATTCATTTTATAATACAACTGACATTCATACTAACTGTTGCTATAACGAAACGTAATTCTACACAATTGTCAAAAGAGACATTATTGATTCTACTGATTAATTTTATGAATATAAACCCTGAATCTTCTCTTATAAGTCGTAAAGTTGGTCGTTAACTCTAAATTATACTCCTTGATTGATGGTTCAATTTCTCTGTATTAATAAATCGAGATACGACTAAAAAGACCACGGCCTACCTAATTTAACGATTTGTCGGTGACATACACAAAAGTGATAGTGACCGCAATGACAAGTGCAGGAGGAGAAAGTATCGGTGCACTCGTGTCTTGCGCCTGCGCACTTGCACCATCTCCTTCACACTCACTATCCTGAGTGACATACTAATGCCAATTGTATTATATATTACAATGTCATTGTATATTATACGCCCATTTGATTATGTGTGACACAATGTCCCTGGTGTTCTTAAGTTGAATGTTTTTATCATATTCGTTGAGAGCTTACTATAAATTATTGTCATATATTTTTACATAACATATAACATCACGCCTTTTATCCTCAAAGGGGTAGGCAGAGGTGCACATTATACCACTGCACAATGTAACACCCACTTTTCACTATTTATGTTATGAGTCCCATGTAATAGGGGGTGAGCCTATTGCCATATACCGGGCACAGTTCCAGACTCCGTGCTACTACTGAGAATTTTTTAAAAACCCAGTAATACTTTGCCCGACCCGGGAATCGAACCCGAGACCCCTTGCTCGGCAGTCGCAATTGCGACCACTCGGCCAACGAGGCAGTCATATATTTTTACGTTACTATTAAATATAATATGTTATTGCGATTTAATTTTATCGTACCTCAAATTAATAAATTAGGTATTTTGATTTGCTGGTTTGTGCTTAGGTAATGTTTTATATCATATATTTTTACCTAGATATATAATGAGTATACTTACAAGTAATGAAAGTAAATAATTCTCTTTCTAGAACATATACGATTACATGTACCACGTTAGCATGTAAACATGATACGGCAAACGATTTCAGCGTGCGTTGATGTCTTTTATTAACGCAAGCGTAACCACCAAGTCGAACCGCCAAAAATACATATTATTATTAAATATTACATTTATTATTTACATAATTTAAATAATAAATTCAAGGTTGAAATTATAAAAATTAAATAATGTTATTTTATTGCATTTTAGACTTTTTAAGGAACGTTTATAGAATTCTTTGCGTATAGAAATATGACATTACAAATGTGTTCGTTGTTTGACAAGGCCGTTCATTTCTCTTTCGTTATTGTAACAGACCGTTATGAAATAAAGTGATTGTGATAATTTGTTAACTTAATTGCAGGCTGTGAAATTAATGTTTATAAGCATATGAATTATATTAACTCTTTACAGGCATGATATAGAATGTAAAAATAAAACGTTTGAAACGATCACAAAGAAAAAATAGATCGATTGCAAAGAAAATCGATATTCAAATTGAAACATTTACAATTCAATGCACGGAATTTCCTCAATGCGTGTAAACAATGCGAAGTGATGTCAACGACTCGTCTCTTGCGATGCACTTTACGAGAATATCCTCATTCGTGGAATATCTAATGCCCATTAGAAACAGGATGCAGCATACAATAATCATAAATGGCGATTAATCGATAAATAATCGAGTTAATAGTACGAAAGTAGCAACCATCATTAATTCACCAGGTGGCTCAGTGGCTGCATATAAATTGTCATTAGGTTTGCTTTCTCGTAATTACTAGTCGATAAGAAAATTACGCTGAAAATTGCGAGTGTAATAGCTAACTCTTATTTGTAGTGAGAAAGATAATCTAATTAAATATGTAGTGTTTTAATTAAATTGTTGTTTTATTAAATATGTAGTGTGTAAACGTGTCCATTAAATCAGTGGTCGATAATTGTTTTTGTTATATAACTTTATTTATTACCTTTTCATATGTACATGCAACTATTTGTTGATTTCTTATTTAAAAAAGCCAGACTGAATATTTTTTTAAACATAAAATATATCACCGTATCTACTCAAGTGCTTTCCAAATTCAACTGCTAAATGCAAAATAATACCTAAATGTGGGAGAGCCATGCTTCGACCGAATTGATACCACAGCCTCACAGAAAACCGACGTGAAACAACGCTTGCCTTGTGTTTCGTCGTGTGAATGAGATTACCGGAGTTCTTTCCAATCTACCTTAATCCCTGAATCCGTCCATCCTCAAATTCCTAATCTGCAAAAGGCGGGTAACGCACTTGTTAAGCCTCTAGTGTTTCGGGTGTCCAAGGGCGGTGCCGATTGCTTACCGCCAGCTGAACCGTCTGCTCATTTACAAGCTTATCCCACAAAATAAAAATATTAAATTGTGCAACTGCAAACTTAAAGAAACAAAAATCAACAAACTATGCTTTTTGATATTGGTACAATCGCCTATAAAATCTAAAAGGTTAGTTGAAGGCCGTGATGATCGAGCAGCGACAGAAAAACACTTAGTCACGACACGACAGCCGTACGTTTACCTACATTATATAATGTTAAACAAGAATGCAAGTGTGTACACAACCGACAGATGAAAACAGATTTGTAAGACT